TTTACTTTTTAAATCAGCTTTTTATTATTAAATCCTGATTTGGTTCAGATTGTCTGTTAGATACTTTAATCATTCCTCTTTGTTTTAAGCTAACAGTAGATTTTTAGGTGATAGTCACATTAAGCTAGCATGTTAGCTGCAGGTTAGCCTGATTCTTTCATAAAACTTATATAGTATTCTATAGAGATATAGCTGACAAAATAAAGAAAGACTGATCATATACGTTTCTAATAAAGCTCCGCCCCTTTTCCTCCCCCTCCAAAACTGGGAGGAGCCTAATTTTACAAGACAAGTTTAATCAGTTCTGACAGCGACACACAGAGCTTCAAGGGAAGTTAGCTGCTCACGCTAGCATTGCTATAGCCATTAGCAGAGCATGACATGAGCAATCAATAATACTTAATTTGTTTTGCCACTTGTGTCTTTGCTGTGTGTGTTTGTATATATATATATTCTGTATTTTTAAACAAGTTATTAATAGTTATATCTGGCTTTATTTTTTTTATATTTCACTGTAAAATTCTTACTGTTGTGTTTTTAGGTTTAGATCATTTTAAGGTCTGTCCAGGAAAAAACAGATGAAAAGTAGCCTTTTGGTTAATTCTGGTGCCTGTGAAATAAATAAATATATTTATACTTTGAACGTACTCAATTATTGGATGTCATGGTAACCAAACTGTCTGAGTCATCTCCTATTCAGCTGCTCCGAGTTTAATCGTGTGAAAATCATAATAAAATTAAAATGTTACTCAAATTATGTTTAAAGTGAAAGAAATTATTTGTGAAATAATCCTATCGACTGTGAGAAAACGGAAACTTTATTCTCATAATTTGGTCTACTGGCTTTTATTAAAAAAAAGAAAATCTTAATTGGTCTTAAGGAAAAGAAAAAAAAGGGTTAAGACTCTTTAATGTCAGGGTTTGGTTGAGGTTTGACGACCCCGATGCAGAGGCAGGTGAGTTCTTGAAGGCTTAATTGAAAAGACTTTGTACTCACAGGTAACTGAGGAAGGAATCCAAAAAATCATCTTAAAATGCAACACAAACCAGAACCATGGAGTCATCAGGGGAAACAAACGCTGGGAACCAGGAAAAGACGAGGAGAGACGAGGAACCAGCCCTGAGGAACTAAACGGAGAGAATTTATGGCTGACTGAACAAAGAGAGGATGAACGAGCTGATTGGGAGCAGGTGGGAACAGAGGACAACACCAGAGGGCAGCAGAGGGCAACAAATAAAACCTAAGAACTCAAATACGTCCAAAATCGCAACAAAAAAAGAAAAAAGAAAAACATGATTCGAACTGAAAACTCAATGAAAAATTAACAGAACCAACTCTGTGACATTTAATGATCCGTCTTTGTTAAACCATTAATGTTCCTAATTAAGGTCAATAAAATGCAGGTAGAAAGAAAGAATATTTCGATTTTTTTTAATCATATTTGTTGATGTATTCCAATAAAATATAGATTTAAACCCTGATCAGTCTGATTTCTTCCATTTTCCTCCCTGGAGACCGAAGGGTTTAATGAGGATCAGAGGCCCAGTGATTCTCAGGTACAACTTTTAAAACATTTTCAGTATTATAGCTGCTTGGGGCAGAGATGAGATCCACATGGCAACGCTTTAACCTTCAAATCCTGGTTTCTATTTTCCTTTCTTTAAATTATTTTATTAATTTTAGCTGAAGCTTTTAAGCAGAAACAAGAACATTGTTTTTTTCCACTATGCATCAAAATATGCCTCAAAATAACCCATGAAAATAAAACTACTGTGGAAAAATGTAGAGCTGAGATTCTCCCATTTCTCCAGGAGGGGGCAGCAGATACATCTTTATGCTTCATTTAGGTCTTAGAAAACCAAATGAATCAATAAAATACATCTAGTGGTAAATTAAACTAAAATTTAACAGATTTTAAGTTGCTCCCATATTTAATCATATTTGCTTAAATATTTTCTCTGCTTTAAACTTAGAACTTTTACCAAAGTTTTAAAGTTTGATCAATTTCTGAAAAAACTCAGCAAAGCATGAAGTCTAAAATTATCTCCTTATCTTTTTACCCGGTAGTTTAAATTTTACATTATTCTTTATATCTGTTATCTTTTAATACATTTCATTAAAGTGTTTAGTATTTATTTGCTGTCATGTAAACACTGTAATTTAAACCCACTCAAATGAGTTTGAATAAGATCCCATTGCGCAGCCATGCTTCTGTCTATAAAAAAGCATGGCTGCGCAATGGGATCTCCAGTGTCACCAATTGTAGCCAATCTTTACATGGAAGAAATGGAAAAGAGAGCTTTAGACACTTTCAATGGAATACCACCAAGCCACTGGTTTAGATACATGGATGACACTTTTATCAAAATCCAGCTAGAGGAAGTGGAAGATTTCACCAAACACATCAACTCTGTTGAACGTAACATCACCCTTTCTAGACTGTCTGGTGAGCATGGAAGGAGATGGAAGCCTAAACATTGAAGTGTATAGGAAACCTACTCACACAGACCAGTATCTTCTTTTTGACTCACACCACCCACTGGAACACAAACTCTCAGTCATCAGAACCTTACAACACCGGGCAGAACATGTCCCTACTAAAACAGATGGGAAGCAAAAAGAACAGAAACACATCAAAGATGCTCTCCGAAACTGTGGATATCCAAACTGGGTTTTTGTCAAATCAGCAAGGAAATCCAAAAGACACGCAACAGAAGACAGCGATGGGAAAATTAAACGCAAAAACATCACAATCCCTTATGTTGCTGGAGCGTCTGAAAAGCTCAAGAGGATTTTCTCCAAACACAAGATCCCAGTACATTTCAAGCCAAACCAAACCCTTAAACAGAGGCTAGTGCATCCGAAAGATAAAACCCCCAGACCGAATATGAGCGGAGTGGTATATGCTGTTCAGTGCAGCGAGGAATGCTCTGATCTTTATATTGGCGAAACAAAACAACCTCTCCACAGACGCATGGCCCAACACAGAAGAGCGGCCGCCTCTGGACAAGACTCCGCAGTACACCTACACCTTATGGACAAAGGACATTCTTTTGAGGACCAGAATGTCCATATTCTGGATAAAGAAAATAGGTGGTTTGAGAGGGGCGTGAAGGAAGCCATCTATGTTAAGAGAGAAAAACCTACTTTAAACAGAGGTGGTGGACTCAGATTCCAGCTTCCAAAAACATACAATTCAATCATAGACATGATCCCTTCCAGATATCAGCAAACCCCCCACCCCATCACAGAGGAACGAGGGACTCACCCGCCCCAGCCGGTGAACAATACCTCCTTAACGACCGACCCCTAGAATCATAGACAGGTTCAGGTATTACAGGCTAACGATGGAACTAAACGACCCATTCATCGGTTACCATTGCATGTTTCCAAGCGATACAAGGCCTTGTCCATATAAGACTCAAACTCACTGCGGATCCAGACATTTGAATTGAGAAAGCTTCCTGGAGAGGTGGAGAAACGTCTTCAGATCTTGGAAACCAAGTCCAGTGGATATTTTTTGAATTTAGTCATTCCTTTTTACGGAATGATTATGACCTGGATGACTGAGAACCTTCATCAGCATATAACAAAGAGAGGACTAATGAGCTGATTGGGAGCAGGTGGGAACAGAGGACAAGACTAGAGGGCAGCAGAGGGCAACAAAAAACCTAAGAACTCAAATACGTCCAGAAAACACAGCAAAATAGGAATTAAACCAATAAAAAATGGAGCAAGGAAAAACTGAATACTCAAAGGAAAACCGAACAGAACCATCAGACTGGAGATGCTTCTTTAACTGTTAATCACTTCCTGATCAGTGAGCCCAGAGGGGAGCAGCTGCCTTCTGTAACTCTGAGGAACTTCTCTGATCTGAGAAAGATTATAATTCCTATCAGAATCTGTTGTCGTGTCTCCTGGTTATTTACTATAGAGTTTTAGGGCCAGAGATTTTTTATTTATTCATTTATTTATTTTCATTTTGAGAATATAGTCGTAATATTATGTGAATTAAGTCATCATTCATCAACCCAAAGATTTCCTGATTTGTCAAACCGATGCTAAAGTATAACTTCCCATGATGCTCAACATTCCTCATTTAGGGAAGAAAGGGATTCTGGGAAGAGTTGGTATAAAATATGACTTGTTTCTCGTAATTTTAGGACTTTATTCTCATAATTTTATGATTTTATTCTCGAAATAGAAAGCAATTCTCTAGCTTTGCCTAATACTACATCGTAGTGATTTAATGCGTTATAAAGTGTTATTTAAAGTTTTCTTTTCAGGAAATCGATGCAGAGAGAAGGAGCTTGAAGGTGGAAACACAGATTTCTTCTTTAACTAATTAAACATGGAGAGTTTTTCTCCCTCATGAATCCAACCTAATAAACTTCTAAGTAAAATTTTTTCTAAACTGCTTCAAATTGCTAAACTATTTGTATTACTATCATATTTTAATCTCTTCTCGCTTTTATTTTCCTTCTATTTTACTGTTTAACTCACATAAAGCGCTGCAGAGAACAGCTGCAGTTCAGCCAGTCCTCCGCTAGAGGTCAGCGCTGCACAGGACTGAGAGGGGGGGCAGTGAGGATCCGCAAAGCAACCGACAGGAGGAAGTTTTCCAGGAAAGCAAACAGATCCAGTTGATCATCAGCTGCTCAGGTTCTAGATGAGCGGAGCTGAGAGGTCAAAGGTCAAAGATTCTGCTCTGATTTTCAGCTTTTTGCTCAATTTTCTCTAAATAACTTTAGAGGCTTTGATCTTTAGGAAACTGCCGGTAAAGAAGAAAACTGCATTTATTGGTCAGAGGAGGAGCAGGAGGAGGAGCGGGAGGAGGAGGAGGAGCAGCCCCGCATCCTGGAAGCTCCGCAGCAGCATCCCGGTGAAACTTTCTCCTCCTCTCTGCTCCAGTCTTCAAACTTTCCCTCCTCCTCCTGCTCCTCCTCCTCCTCCTCCCCCCCAGGCTGCGCGGAGCTGCGCCTCTCGGAACTTCTCCTCACTTTGCGTGTCTCTGCGCTGCGTGGAGGTGAAACTTTTCTCCCTTCAGCCGCCGCGCGCCGCGCGCCTCCGATGGCTTTCCACGTGCTTGGAGGCGCTTCTCCTCACTGAGAGCAAAGTTGAGGAGCTGAGGAGGAAGGAGTCAGAGAGAGGAGCGATCGGGGTGAGTCTGCAGACCATGTGCTGTTTGCTCTTTATTTCTATCACCTTTTTATAACAAATTTATTCAATTAAATTAAAATTTTAATCTATTTATGTTGGATCCATTTGAGAAAATGAGAAAAATTTATCCTTAAAAATCCATCAAATCTTTTCATATTTTTAAATTTAAAGGATAAATTTATTTTTTTCTTTGTCATTTATATTTCTGCTTATTTTAAATTAGCTGAAAATCTCCAACTGTTATAATAATTAAAACCTCCTTTATCTATTTTAACATTAATTCAGAATTGTTTTTGCAGCAGTTAATTAATCATCTTTTTGTATTAGATAAATCAGCATTTTTAAACCTTAAATCCGCAGAAGAAGAAGAAAGTAAATGTTTGCAGTTTTATTAAAAATGAAGCGCAGCCTCCTTCCTCTCCTTTCTGGCCTCACTCTGGATTTTTCTTTTTTGTTATTTCTGATCCTGAATGCTCTCTGCGTTCATTTGCATCAGAAGAAAAGTTTTAGTGCGTTTGCTTTTGTGCGGGATGAAGAGTTCCAGCAGTCAGGAGGAGGAGGAGGAGGAGGAGGAATAATGGGGCCCTCCACATTATTCACCGTGACATTCCCAAACCTGGGATGGGGATGTCACTTTCATCCTTCCCCCACGAGCGCCTGTCACTTTCACACATCCTGGCGGGAATTTCTGGGAAAATCACTGCAGAGTGTAATGAGTGAAAAAGAAAATAAAAGTCTGGAAACGATGGATCTACTGGGGGGGGCGTGGGGGAGCAGGCATGCAAGCCATGAAGGGGGGGGGGGATTTAAGAGAGTAAAACTCCCTGCTGTGAGGACTCAAAAGTCTCTTATCCCACAACACAACAAGTCCACAGCAATTACAGCTCAGCGTGGCCCCCGGGGGCCGCGGGTGCTTTCTGAGAAAAGGCCCCAAACCTGCTTCAACATTAACTAAACAAACCCGTTTAAATGTTTTTCACTTCTGGAACCAAACATCCTTTAAGTTTTTCATTTTAGGATTTTCGGCTGGTTTTCCAGCTGTCTGGGGGGGGGGGATGATTAAACGCTGCTGAGCTTCCAGGCTGCAGCTGCATCATCATTCAGTTATTCAGAGTTAGAAAATTAAAGCCGATTGTTTCCGGTTCTTCACTCTTTATAAGGAAATATCTTAAAAAATGTAAATTTCAGCCAATAGTTTTATTGGAATCCAGGTTAAAAATTAATATCAGTGGAATAACAAGAACTTCCCCGAATAGATTAAGAAAAATAACCAAAGTGCTTCTAGAAAAACACTCAGAGAGAAAGAAACACATTTTATTTTGTTCCAACATTAATGCTGATTCTGACAGTTTTTAGTTTATAAACATAAATAGAATTGTTAACGAGGCTTATTCACTTTTTAATTAGCTTTTTACCTTTTTTTCTTGAAAATCAATCAAGTCATTTCTTCTCCAGATAAGTGTTTTTGTTCTTGAATTGAGGAAATAAATGAGACATTTTGCCAAATGAACAAGATAATTTACATTTAAAATAAGGAAACACAATTACATCAAAGTGAATTTTATCTAAATATCTTATTTTAAGAGTAAAAATCCTCATTCCATTGGCAGATCATCTCATTTACCTGCTCAAATTAAGGGGAAATACATTTAATTTAAGAAATGTTTACTTGTTTCTACATCATTTTTTTTCAGGTAATATATCCTCAATCTTTGTTAAAATAAGTGAATTTTTTTCTTGAATTAAGCAGGTAAGTGAGACAGTTTACCGATGTGTCTTATTTCACGTGCATAATATCTTATTTTAGGAGTAAAATCTTCTATCAGCAGATCATCTCATTTAGCTGCTCAAATACTTTTAATTTAATACATTTTTACTTATTTTTAGATCGTTTTTTCAGTTTAATTGATCAAATGCTAAAATCAGACGTGCAGCCATGTAGCAGCATCTTTGCTGAATAGCTGGATATAGATCTAGTGCTTCTAGTTTCACTGAGGGACGGGGGGCTCCGTTTGTAAGGGGGGTGCAGGTGATCTAAAACGCTAACTTGTCCTTTAAAGGGTTAAATATCTTTGTTGAAGCTTCGTCAGGTTTAATCTGAGACGCTCTGATTGATGGAAACGTTAAAGAATAAAAACATTCTAGTTCTTTATATAAAATGATTTATTTTAATTTATTTTTAATTGTTAGACTGATTTAAATCAAAGCTTTAGTTGTAATTTAGTTATAATCACTACGGTATATTTCTGTGAAAATTTTATAAATTTCTCAAGATTTTTTGGTGATTTAATGAAAGTTTTAATTTTCTAAACAGGTTAGAAATGTTTTTATTTGTTAGTTGGATTTTTTTTTAATCGGAAGCGTGAGGAAAAAAATCGGGTTCCTGGGTCTGAACGGCGTCTCTCCTCTCGCTTCCTGTAGCCGGTTTGAACTCTGACCTCTGCGGCTGCTAATGTGTGACTGGATATCACTGGCGGCTCCAATAACCTCGGATCCTTTGGATGGGAACACGGGGCCGTGGAGCTGGGGGGCCGTGGGGCCGTGGTTAAGTGATGTCACGCGCGGGGATGAACATCCTCCTCCAGCAGATCCGCCATCAGCAGCAGTAATTAAACTGGATGAGAACAGATCTGAGTTCAGGGAAACCTCAGCAGAACTGACAGGAGGAATCAAAGGTTTGGGGAGGGGGGGCCCCCACTGGGGGTCCACTAGGGGCCCAATGGGGGACTGCAGTCCCTCCTCTGTGCCGTGTTGGGATCAGCTTTGATGGGGCTGTTAATTAACTCCTGAAGGGGCGGCGGGATCGCCACCGTCAGGCCGCTCTCTGATCTGAGGGAGCGGCGGCGGCGGCGATGGGAGGATCAGAGATCAGGGACGGTCTGAGGGGTCAGAGCCGCCGGCGACCCGGGCCTTTTCCCGCCCCCCCCTCTGGGACGGAGCGGACCTTTCAGACCCCCATAGGGTCACACCGAGGGGGGCGTTTATACGCTGCTCTAACGGTGTTTTAACGTCATAAAATCGGACAAATAAATAAAAAACATAAAAAAGTCTCTAAACTTCACACATTTAGAATAAAAAACTTATTGAGCAAAACTATAAAGCATATATAAAAAGCAAAATAAAATACGGCAAACTAACAGAACCGCAGCAATCAAGCTTTACCGAGTCGTTCCAAAACTATTCATTCATTTCCTGCTAGTTTGATGGATTAATTAGATTCACATGATTCTATTCTATTCAGTCTATTTCTATAGCTCCAATTCACATCATGTCATCTCAGGTCACTTTCCAGTTCACCAGATCATCCAGTCAGATTGATTCAAAGTTTTCTATCTAAGGAAAACCAGCTGATTGCATCGACTCATTGACTCTTCAGCAATCCCTCACACTAAGCATGCTTGTAGCGACAGTGGAGAGGAAAAGCTCCCTTTGAACAGGAAGAAACCTCCAGCAGAACCAGGCTCAGTGTGAGCGGCCATCTGCTGAGGAATTTTGACAACAGCAAGTCAAATGGTTACTAGCCAAGGACCAGCTAAGGCTCAACCACTGACCATCCAAGGATCATCCAAGGACCATACAAGGACCAGCCAATGACCAGCCAAGGACTAGCCAAGGACCAGCCAAGGACCATCCAAGGACCAGCCAATGACCAGCCAAGGACTAGCCAGGAACTAGCCAAGGACCATCCAAGGACCATCCAAGGACCATACAAGGACCAGCCAATGACCAGCCAAGGACTAGCCAAGGACAAGCCAAGGACCATCCAAGGACCAGCCAAAGACTAGCCAATGACCATCCAAGGACTAGCCAAGGACCAGCCAAGGACTAGCCAAGGACCAGCCAAGGCTCAACCACTAACCAGCCAATGACCATCCAAGGACCAGCCAAGGACTAGCCAATGACCATCCAAGGACTAGCCAAGGACCAACCAAGGACTAGCCAATGACCAGCCAAGGACCAGCCAATGACCAGCCAAAGACCAGCCAATGACCAGCCAAAGACTAGCCAATGACCAGCCAATGACCAGCCAATGACCAGCCAAAGACTAGCCAATGACCATCCAAGGACTAGCCAAGGACCAGCCAAGGACTAGCCAAGGACCAGCCAAGGCTCAACCACTAACCAGCCAATGACCATCCAAGGACCAGCCAAGGACTAGCCAATGACCATCCAAGGACTAGCCAAGGACCAACCAAGGACTAGCCAATGACCAGCCAAGGACCAGCCAATGACCATCCAAGGACCAGCCAAGGACCATCCAAGGACCAGCCAATGACCATCCAAGGACCAGCCAAGGACCATCCAAGGACCAGCCAATGACCAGCCAAAGACCAGCCAAGGACCATCCAAGGACCAGCCAAGGACCATCCAAGGACCAGCCAATGACCAGCCAAGGACTAGCCAGGAACTAGCCAAGGACCATCCAAGGACCATCCAAGGACCATACAAGGACCAGCCAATGACCAGCCAAGGACTAGCCAAGGACAAGCCAAGGACCATCCAAGGACCAGCCAATGACCAGCCAATGACCAGCCAAAGACTAGCCAATGACCATCCAAGGACTAGCCAAGGACCAGCCAAGGACTAGCCAAGGACCAGCCAAGGCTCAACCACTAACCAGCCAATGACTATCCAAGGACCAGCCAAGGACTAGCCAATGACCATCCAAGGACTAGCCAAGGACCAACCAAGGACTAGCCAATGACCAGCCAAGGACCAGCCAATGACCAGCCAAAGACCAGCCAATGACCAGCCAAAGACTAGCCAATGACCAGCCAATGACCAGCCAATGACCAGCCAAAGACTAGCCAATGACCATCCAAGGACTAGCCAAGGACCAGCCAAGGACTAGCCAAGGACCAGCCAAGGCTCAACCACTAACCAGCCAATGACCATCCAAGGACCAGCCAAGGACTAGCCAATGACCATCCAAGGACTAGCCAAGGACCAACCAAGGACTAGCCAATGACCAGCCAAGGACCAGCCAATGACCATCCAAGG